TATATATATATATATATATTCATTTTTTAAAGTAAAGCTGTCGAGATTTAAAGTGTTTGTCCTTGTATCTTTAAAAAAAAAGGAGTTAATTGTCAAATGCCATTTTTTTAATAAAGCTGTCAGGATTCAAAGCGCTTGTCCTTGTATAATTGCAGTATAATTTATTTTGAATCTTCTATTTTTTGGGGGGGGGGGATTATATTTGCTCCGAAGCAAATGTTGGCCTTTCTAGTTATTTAGTTAGTAAGTTTTCTAGTAGATTGTAATTGATGTGTAATTGCCGTGTTGATTTGATTATATGGATGACAGCTGTGCGCGAATCGATTTTTGTTCATTTCCAAAATGCGTTTACGACAATTATGCAAAACTGCAAACTGAGCAAACATATATTGGTTATGTCATAAAATTGACTAGTTTTGTCGATAGACGAAGGGAGACAGGGATTGCAGCAGAGGATGGCATCCATATAATCAAACCAAATTGGCCTAATGTATAGCATAATCAATATATATGTCAGGTTCCTAGTATTTGTAAGTCGTATTTGTGTTTTTTTTCTAATATGTTTGTATGGTTTAAAAGTATATATAGATCCTGTCGGTATAGCCTCCAATTCTGTGCAATTAGAGCTTTAGAGTAGGTACAATATCTATCATGAAAGTTCATCTGTGTTGGTAGTTACATGTTTAAAGTTAAAACTTTTGATTCCAACACAAAAATTCTACTCACCTAGAGCTTTCAACCAGTCACTCTGGTCTTCCTCACTTGACACTGTAAGGATTTTAGACACTGAACAAGATTTCTTGAGAGGGGTGAAGGAAGCAATTACATCAGGGCCCATCACCCCACATTGAACCGCGACGGGGGCCGACATCGTCTACCAGATACCTTTGACCCAGTGTTGACGTCACACTTCAAAGAAGCCACGTGACAAGCTTCACTGGGTCAGTCTACTGAGGAAGACCAGAGTGACTGGTTGAAAGCTCTAGGTGAGAGAATTTTTGTGTTGGATCAAAAGTTTTAACTTTAACCCTAAACAGTACACCTGGGGTCCGCGCGGACCCCAGCACTATATATTCTGTAATATCTTTTTTGTTTCTAAAGATTTTTTTCTGAAATTTTAGGTAATTGTCACCCACAAAGTTGTCTCTCAATAAAGTGCAGAAAACTCCGTTTCTACCATTTATAAAAAAAATTATATCTGATTTTCTTTTGGGGTCCGCGCGGACCCCAGTCGGCTTTCGATCATAATGGATACACTGGCGTTCTTATACATTACCTTATTTCCGTTTTTATATGTTTTTATGCACTCATCGTATGTCTACCAAGTTTTCAGAGAATGGTGTAGTAATAGAATTAAATTTTAATAACTTTGGTGTAATTATTTCGTCATATGACGTCAGAGCTAATAATATAGTCCGCCATATTGGATTTTGACCAATGACGTCATCAAATTAGCATATTCTATGCATATTAAATGATTTAACTTATATTTAATTATGTAAGATGTTATTAATGTTGGAAAAGAAGTGTAATTTAATATAAAACTCAGAAAATTTTTATGTTTAAACCAAAATTACTTCTATTTTCAAAAAAACTGCCAGCTAGAAACCCGTTGCCATGGCAACACAAAAAAACATCAACTTACTAGTATTAAACTAATATGAACTTTTTGCCAGAGACATTTTAGGAAAGGTCTCCAAATTTGATACTTCTAGCGCAAGCCGTGTAGCCGCTATCTGTGATCAAAGTTGGGCCTCAAAAGCCCCTTCAGTATGAAATGGGTTTAAAAATCGGGTATTTCTTCTTGTCTTCTTTTCTTCACCAAAAAATAGGAAAAGTTCAAAATGTATGATTTTTGTATGTAATGTGGACACAGAGGTTCCCACATCAGTTTACAACACAATTGAGCTGGTAGCATGTTGATAATTTCTAAAAATTAGCAAAAAACTGTTCTGGGGTCCGCGCGGACCCCAGGTGTACAGATTAATCAGTCCGGGAAGGTGTACTGTTGAGGGTTAAATAGGTACAATATCGTCATTAGAAGTATTTAAATACCTTCAATACATAAGATTAAGATAAGTGTAAAGTAAAGCTGTTGAGATTCAAAGTGCTCGCCCTTGTATCTTTAAAAATTGAGAGACAATTGTCGAGTGGCATTTTTTAAGATAAAGCTGTCGAGAGTCAAAGTGCTTGTCATTGTATCCTTGCTCACAATTAGATATTTGCAGTATCATTTATTTGGAATCTTCCATTTTTGTTTGGGGAGGAACATGGAGTGAAACATTCTACATTTGCAAATATTGGCCTTTCTAGTAACTTTTATTGTTTTGATTTTTTAATTTTTTTAAATTATGTATTATTTAAACTTATTTTTATTATCATTACACTTATCTTACTTGTTTCATTTGACGTGAGAGATGTGTAGGAGAACTGGAACCCCTGATGTGTTACAAAGCCGTCAGATGTAAACCTCAGGAACATGGAGTTAGATGTGCTGAGGATACGGCTGACTGACTGTTGACCTGTTAACCTGGACATTACGAAATAAACAATACATGTTAGACATACAGTATTTTACATCGTATTCTTTTTATTCGTTTCTTTTTCTTAACCTAGGATACAGGTATTGACCATTACATTTACTAACAGTAGTTATATGTTAAAGTGTAATATGATTAATATGCGTGTGTAATTTGTGTTAAAACATTACCTTTGTATCACTGCAGCGCTGTCACTGGCCCCATCATAGATGTCCAGGAAGTCATAATTCTCCTCAGTGTTGAAACTGTCAAACGTGAGACTGATGATGCTTCCTACTGGTACAGTGATTAACCACTCGCAGTTCTCATTGTTGCCATAGTTACTGGGGTAGTTTGGTGATGTCACAGGACCTCCAGTGGGAGCCGTCAGGTTTCCTCCACATCCAGCTGCATTGCCCTGCGTTACTAATGGAAGAAAAAAATTATATCATTATTATAATCGTCTGGGCAAATTAAGAAATTGGTTAAATCAAGCTTGTTCAAATACGGGCGATCTACTAAAAACCCGTTCCCACCGGCGTGTTTCGCGGTCTAAGATATCCGCGGACTCAAGTTCGAAAGAGTGACCCTTGTTGTGTTGTAGGTGGTGGAATAAATGAAAGAATGTACAACCCCACCCTCAACAGGGATGGGAGGGGGGGGTAGTGGGCTACGGGTGGATCTCTCCGGCACTTGAAATTTGCCACTCCCAGCCCCGAGGACAGACAACACTTAAGCTCCTGTTTTGTATAACAGGAGCTTTCTGACTAATTTGCATTATCTTGTCTTGACTTGTCTGACTTTTGTTCCTTTTTGTACTTCCAAAAATTTGTTTTTTTTCCTTCATTTGCATATCAATCAATAGTTTGTGCTTGTAAACCTGCATTTCCCCTCTGGTCTCTCAGTCACTGACGAAAGCTAGTGGATACTAGCTGAAACGTCTGACGTCTTCCAAATCATATCCAGTTGCTTGAGTAACTGCTTTTTGGCGTATCGTATTACCTGCCTGTCTAACCTTCATCGACGTAATAATACAAAAGTTCTCATACCGGACACTTTTTAGGGGATAACATAATTTCATGTGTTTTAACTCCAACGAAGCCTTCGTCATTATAAAGTACATCTAATTGACTTCAGTCCCCCATGCGCTTTATTGTGATGTTTCTAGTATACACTTTAATATGCTAACAAACAAAAGATACTAAATTGGTGTCTACGTTATGCACTGTAAGCCATCATTTCAGGTGTTTTTAACTCCAACGAAGCCTTCGTCAGTATAAAGTACATCTTATTGACTTCAGTCTCCCATGCATTTTATTGAAATTCACGCAATCCTCTTTTAAAATGCTCTGCGAATATAACAAAAGTCATTGTTAACGACGTTAACAATGCCAGCGTTCCAATTCTGTATGTTCTTCTTACCCAATGACCCTTTTACTATTCATCCCAAAACAGTACTGACCCAAAGGCGTGTGTTGTACACAGAAGCAGTTACCGTAAAGGGGTTGACTTGGCGCTGTTTGGATCTTCTCATGGCTGCAACTAGTTATTATTAGGAACTGTATCTTAGTGTGCAATAGAAATATATATTATGTAGTAATAACTGATGTTTATAGGTGATAGCCATGAGGTCTAATCCCTCGTGATTGAGCACACTGACAGTCATCTTCGGCGACGAAGGACTACCAAGATAGGTGATAGCTAGTCGGTCGAAGCACCATTTTGTATGAGCTAACAGCTTTTTCAGAGCTCATATTTAATGTGTTCTGTTGTGTCGTCAATCAAAAATATTACATATAGCCGTTTGATTTTATTGATATAACCATTGCAGTTGACGGAATTGCTATGGTTTCTTCGCAACTCTTAGTTTCCAAGCCTGTGAATCGATTAAATAGAATACTGACAGTTGCAAAATGTGGAAAAGACACTAAAACTAAGCCAGATCCATATGCGTACCAATAAACTTCATATACGCAACTTACACACGGTGTTTTCGATAATGACGCCTGTGTAAATACCATTTCCTTTCACAATATTCTTTATCTTGTGGTCATCTCATGACAAAGGGTTTGTAGGAGAGAAAAAATGGTTATAGAGGCTTTTTACTGACGTCATAATAATCACAATATGAATCTAGGCGGGTAAATTGATAAAACACCAGCATGTTGGCATGTTTATATAACACAAATTACCTGTAATAGAACATGGCGCATGGAAAAAGCTTGTATACCATACCATCTGACCAAGTAGAGTTCTGGGATAGGGTTAGGCAAATGATCACAAGTTAGGCGTGCAAAACGTGTTCAGAAACACACGCGTAAAACATATTACGAGTACATGCATCTGATTTACACACTGTAGAATTTTTGCCTGATATAAAAATCGTTTTGATGGGATACTTTATCCAATCCATTACACTTTCTTGCATAAAGCAAGAGGAGAATTCAGCAGGCTAGCTACTTAACTTAATTAACTTGCTTGACAACGTTGAGTGACAACGCTGAACGTTAAATCGTTGGATTAGCGAGGGATGGCTTCTTTAAAGGTAACTTAAAAATAGCTCACTAGACTTAAAACGCATAAAACACATCCATGCGATATACTACTCTCCAACGGGTGTTACACGTAAAGTTTTGGAAGGAAATCACAGAGACATTTCAATACGCCGACTTAACTGTTCTATGACATGATACATGGTGAAGAATGTTGTGAAAGGAAATAGAATTTACACAGGTGCCATTTCCAAAAACTTGTCGTGTAAGTCACGTATTTCACGTAAAGCAAGGTGTTGGCTAATCTAGAAACAGATATATGGATCTGGCTCAGTTTTAGTGTCTTTTCCGCATTTTGAAACTTTCCGAAAACCTGTTTTAGTATCGGTGGACCGTCATCAAGTACAATCATTATGATTATATTAATAGAATCAAATTGCTTAATAACATTGTTCTGACTGGTTCACGACACAACAAATTAAACATTAAATACGAGATCTGGAAAAGACGTTACATCTAGATCTCTCAAAATCATGTATTTCTACTAAACAAAAAGATACAGTCCCTAATAATAACTAGTTGTAGCCATGAGAAGATCCAAACAGCGCCAAGTCAACCCCTTTACGGTAACTGCTTGTGTGTACAACACACGCCTTTGTGTCAGTACTGTTTTGGGATGAATAGTAAAATGGTCATTGGGTAAGAAGAACATACAGAATTGGAACGTTGGCATTGTTAACGTCGTTAACAATGACTTTTTGTTATATTCGCAGAGCATTTTAAAAGAGGATTGCGTGGATTTCATTAAAACGCATGGGGGACTGAAGTCAATTAGATGTACTTTATACTGACGAAGGCTTCGTTGGAGTTGAAAAAAAACTCAAAATAATGTTATCCCCTAAAAAGTGCACAGTATGAGAACGTTTGTATTATCATTTTGTTAACAGCGAAT